GAAGGGGGAATTGACAAAGCAATTGCAAGAGAGAAAAAGTCCCTCAGCCTTTGGAGGAGGCTCTTGGCAGCTGTGAAAGAAAGGTTTCCGTACAAGGACGATGTTACGAGTCGTTCGGCCAAGTGGACTACTATAGACAAAGGCATCCAGTCTCTGAGGGAATCGGCCATTGTAGAGATGATCTATCACATCAAGCCGAATAACGGGGATACACCTATAGATCCAGATGAAGTTGAATGTACACGACCCATGTGGCGAAAACTTACACGGAATGCACCGTCATCATATGCCCATTCATTGGCAACAGTGACCAGGAATGACATAGTACCACTAACAGTGGATGAAATGGTTCATAAACTCCGAGAGTTCGAAGACAATCTCACTCCTTCCATCATCTCAGCTGTGAAAAAACTGTCCCAGGACCTCGACAAATTGAGGGACGATGTATCTGATTTATCCAGCTCCTCACGTGTACCAACACACGTCTCAGCTATTAACAAAAGACGTCCTATTATTCGAGAGAGGAGATACAGAAGGTATACGCCACGGGGTACCCTATGGTTTTACCTGCTGGATCACGGAGAAGACATGACAAAGTGGGATGGAAAACCTACTTCAGCTTTGGAGGAACGGGTGAGTGAACTGAAGAGGGGAGCAAGGGCCAAGACTGATCGTCCCATGAGAGCTACGGCTTCAGTCTCTGGTGAGCAGTTTCCCAGATGGAGTGGAAGAGCTGATTTTACTCCAGCTCCTGTGATAATGAAGAATAATCCCTTTCAACACGACTTAAGTGTCCAATGCTGTGACGACCATTAGAGGGGCCCTGCCTCCAGCCAGGTGGAGGTAGGGGACAATTGGATTTACTGGACTGTGTGGATCAGATGGCCTGGCACATCAGTCCCACAGAAGTATAAGGCTCTAGTAGATACCGGTGCACAGTGTACCCTGATGCCATCAAGCTGTCAAGGGGTGGAACCCATCTATATTTCTGGAGTAACAGGAGGATCCCAAGAGTTGACTGTGCTGGAGGCTGAAATCAGCCTGACTGGGAGGGAGTGGCAAAAGCACCCTATTGTGACTGGTCCAGAGGCTCCATGCATCCTCGGCATAGACTACCTCAAGAGAGGGTACTTCAAAGACCCAAAAGGGTACCGGTGGGCTTTTGGTATTGCTGCTTTGGAGACTGAGGAAATTGAGCAGCTGTCCACCTTGCCTGGTCTCTCAGAAGATCCCTCTGCTGTGGGGTTGCTGAAAGTTGAAGAACAACAAGTGCCAATTGCGACCACAACAGTGCACCGGCGGCAATATCGCACCAACCGAGACTCCCTGATTCCCATCCATCAGCTGATCCGTAGACTGGAGAGTCAGGGGGTGATCAGCAGGACCCGCTCACCCTTCAATAGCCCCATATGGCCAGTGCGAAAGTCTAATGGAGAATGGAGACTAACAGTAGACTATCGTGGCCTGAATGAAGTCACACCACCATTGAGTGCTGCCGTACCGGACATGCTAGAACTTCAGTATGAACTAGAGTCAAAGGCAGCCAAGTGGTATGCCACGATTGATATTGCCAATGCATTTTTCTCCATTCCTTTGGCAGCAGAGTGCAGGCCACAGTTTGCTTTTACTTGGAGGGGTGTCCAGTTCACTTGGAACCGACTGCCCCAGGGGTGGAAACACAGCCCTACCATTTGCCATGGACTGATCCAGACTGCCCTGGAACAGGGGCAAGCTCCAGAACACCTGCAATACATTGATGACATTATTGTGTGGGGCGATACAGCGGAAGAAGTCTTTGAGAAAGGGAGGAAAATAATCCAAATCCTGCTGAAAGCCGGTTTTGCCATAAAACGGAGTAAGGTCAAGGGACCTGCACAGGAGATTCAATTTTTGGGAATAAAATGGCAAGATGGACGTAGACAGATCCCCACAGATGTGATCAACAAGATAACAGCAATGTCTCCAGGTCACCAGCGACTGGCCCTGACTTCCCTCCAGCCATCATCCCCACAGAGAATGAACTTGGAACATCATGGACCGAATGGACTCGGCAGCATTATAGGGATTGGTCCATGCACTAAGAAAATGATTTTTTCCTCTTGGTCTGTATGGATATGGATGTATATATGTGGGAGAGCGATGGTGTATTGAAAATGTGGGATCTGAGCACGACGTGAATGGTATGGAATAAGGGGTGGATAATGTCCTGGGTTCAGCAGTAGCAGTCATGTTTTTTCCTTTGTGTTAACTGGTGCAGTGCTGTGTTTTGACTTCTAGTTTGAGAACAGTGTTGATGAAGCCGATGTTTTCGGTTGTTGCTAAGTGATGTTTACCCTGACCAAGGACTCTGTGAGGCTCATGCTCTGCCAGGGAGGAGGGGAAGCTGTGAGGAAGCAGAGACGGGGTGCCTGACCCGGGCTAGCCGGGGAGGTATTCCATACCACAGCACGTCATGCCCGGGGTGGGGGGTAACTGGGAGTTACCCGGAAGGACAGGAGCTTCCGGGTGGAACTCGTTTTCTTGGCCGGTGGTATCGTATTCTCTTCCCTTGTTATTTTCCCTTATCATTGTTTTAGCTGATAGTAGCGGTGGTGATTTGTTGCTGGACTGTTCTTGTCTCAACCCATAGGAGTTGCACTCTCTCGATCCTCCTCCCCGTTCCTCCGGGAGCGGGGAAGGGGAGAGCCCCGGTGCAGGGAGGGGGGAGACGGACACGGACCTTGATTGTTGTCAGCTCGGCACCACTCACTGGGAGTGAGTGAACAAGTTACCTGACTGGGTTTAAACCACGACAATTCCAAGTACTTTATACTTTATTGAGTAATTGTGGCTGTTTGTTCCAAACAATAGAAGTGACTTGCACCGATGATTGATAGAATTCACAGTCAGAAGTCCTTTTTGAAAGTTGGATTTTCCCCAGTTATTCCTGCAGATAACAGAAGACCAGAATTTAACTTCTTCTTCAAAACTTTTCTTCAAACTTGTTTTGATACAGTATCATGATTTTAAAACACTTAGAGACGATAAGGACTTTGTGTGAGATCTTGCCTGTACTGAAGTATTGGTTTTTTCCTCTTGATTTCTGTGTGGTGCTCAATAGCCAGGTGTTCCTTTTCCCCCTTTTCTCTTTGTTGAGCAAAGCTTACAAATTGCAGAACTCCCAAAAGAAAAGCAGTGCTGTTCACACATCTAGCACACAGTCTCTTACCTGCTGAAAGACTTGTGCTTCTTAACAACATCTTTACCCAACTACGTGAAAATTCTTTTAAGAAGTAGCTGTTCGGCTTACATTCATTTAGCAGCCACAAACACAATAAATAGCAAATCAAAGCTTCCATGGAATTTTAGCTAATTATCCTCTATTCACATCTGACACAAGCAGAGTGTTGAAAGAAAATCTTAGTTCAGCTAGTGATAAATTTAGCTGTGAAACATATAGGTTCATGTTTGTCATGGTTTAAGCCCAGCCAGTAACTCAGAACCATGCAGCTGCTCACTCACTCCCCCCTCTTCTTCCTAACCCTGCTCCCAAAGGGATGGGGAAGAGAATGGCAATAATGTAACTCCCACAGGATGAGATAAGAACAGTCCAGTAACTAAGATAAAACGCAAAACCACTGCTACTACCAACAACAATAATAATGATAAGGGAAATAACACGGGAAGAGAATATAACCACTCACTACCTGCCAACCAATACCCAGCCTGACTCGAGCAGTGATCTAGCCCTTCGGGGTGACTGCCCCCAGTTTATGTACTGGACACGACATGCTGTGGTATGGAATACCTCTTTGGCTAGTTTGGGTCAGGTGGCCTGTCTCTGCTTCCTCCCGGTTTCCCCTCCTCCCTGGCAGATCATGAGACTCACAAAGTCCTTGGTCAGGGTAAACATTACTGAGCAACAACTAAGAACATCGGTGTTATCAGCGCTGTTCCCAGGCTGAAAGTCAAAATCATAGCACTGCACCAGCTACTAAGGAGAAAAATGACTGCTACTGCTGAACCCAGGACAATGCTGTAGGGAACATGTATTTTAAATCTTCCTTAGGGATAAGATACTGTAAGAGTTGTCACATAAGTTTTAGATCTCTACTCCAAATTAATATAGTTTTGGAATAATTCAAAGAAGATTTTTTTTGTGGATTTTTTTTTTTTTAGGTGCTTTTCTGAGAGAAAGAACTAATTCCATGGAGGCTCTTATTCTGAAATTTTAAATTGTGAATGATATATTTATTGATAAGTTTGTAATATTACTTAGATTTGTGACTTGCATTTGTTGTATAAATTTTAGCATTAGTGTGTGTTCATTTAGCTGTCTGAGATGATAAAGAGCAGGATCATGTTTTTTCTTCAGATCATAAAGGAGTCTCCCCTACTTTCCACACTTGTTCTGAGAGCAATACCTAGTGACCTGTCTTTTTCATGGCAAGGTGTAAAATTTCTTTGTCCTTAATTTCTGAGGATGCTGAAAATGGGAATATAAATGAAAGCAGTAAGACTTAGAAGAAAGACTTTCTTTAAACATTTAAAATTGTATGAATTAATGGGTTTTGATTGCAGAGTGATCTACTTGTCTCTTTATCTCCATCACCATAGTCACCCCCTTAGACCTGTTTTGAATGCTCTCAGTGCCTTTTTAGGTTTAAGCGGCACAGAAAAACACTTCCCTGGAAGTGACTGTGTACTTTTTTTTGCTCACTGTAGCTTCTTTCTTTTGCCTTATCTAGGTTCTACATGTTTTATTGAACTGAATTTTGGGTTTGCATACAGAAATAAGAGCAATTTATTGTGGCTTTGTAAAGTTCTCAGTTCTGCCTTATCTGTAAGGTTATCATTTTCCCCTTATATTTCTTTGAGTGGACATGTAGGAGAACTTGGCATTTGAGTGGTGGAAATATAAATAGCTCCTAATTTTCATTACATGATTATTGCTGTAATTTGTAAAATTTCTGAAAGCTGATAATAATCTAACATTTTGATTGTATTCTTTTTTCTTAAAGGGCACTATGAGGAGGTGTATGATAACCAGCTTAACTTGGCCTACTATTTCAATGACCCTGAGGACAAGTGGTTAAGTGATTACTTTCATGAGGAATGCTTTAACACTGCTAAACTAATAACAACTGATATCAGGAAAAGAGAGGCACAAGCACATGCAAATATGGGCCTCATCAAAGAGGAACAAGGTAAGTCACTGAGGTCATAAAGCTGTATTTTACCAGTATTTTAGACAGCCATCTTTGATTTGCAACCATAATTTGAAAGAAGTTTTAAAACTCTTACAATTTTAATTTTTGGAGCTGCAAATAGGAAGACAGAAAAATCTGTAATTATCCACAGATCTGTTTCCTCTGACGTTCCATCTACTATTGAGAGTACTCCATCAGATGAAAAACAAAACACAAGTTTAAAGGATGCATTTGTTCAGTGCAAAGTTTCTTTGGGTTTGACCTTACTTCATTTTGCCTGGTTTTGGCAAGACTTGTAATGCTGCCTCAGGCCATCAGTGTTTGAATAGAATGGCATCTGTGGTTACACAAACTGAGTTGATTTAAGAGGTATAAATGAGTAGTTGAGTTTAATCCTTGGATAAAATGTCCTATATTTTTTGTGTCCTTTTTAAAAACTACCTTTTGATCGTTTGACTGAAAAAGGCACCCAGTTTGTTGGTACACAACTGCCACATTGGTGTTTGCTTCAGATTTGTATCTTACCACAAGCTCCTTTTCTCCATTCATTAATCTGTATCCTCAAACTGTGAGACTCTGAAATTAGAAAAGATATTAACAGAAGTAATTAGAATCGTAGAACAGCCCAGGCTGGAAGAGATCTCTGGCCCAAACTTTCATGGGAAAGATTGCCAAGATGAGATCATTCAGGCACCTTGTCAAATCACATCTTGAAAAACTCCAGTAATGGGGATCCTACCACATCCCTGGGGAGGCTGTTCCAGTGAATTATTGCTCTCACTGTAAATATTACTTTCTTATATCAAGATGAACCTTGTTTCTATGTTTAAAAACATATACATTATCTTTCACAGCTGAAGGCTTTGTGTGTGTATCGTAGTCTGGGTATAGAAAAAAGTGTTTTCCTATATTTGTATTACATCCTTTCATGTTGTAGGAAGACAAGCAATGAGTGAACCTCAAGTAACTGAATAAAATGTCTCTTTCAGTTTGAATTCCACAGTGTAGTGGAGGCCTAACCATTGCTTAAAATATATATGGTTTGTATAGCTATCACAGTTTTATTTTTAAGTTTGACTTTGTGGGTTGAAACTATTCCAACTCTGAGCTCAGTCTGTGGCTGGTTTCTTGAATAGAATGGCTTTTCTTAGAGAGAAAAAAGATTCACAGAAATCGAAATATTTTTTGGAAACTGTGCAATTCCTGTAAATATCTGACAGAATGGGTGTGTCTTGAAAGATAGCCTAATTTCCTAACAAAAACCTGGACGTAAAACATGTCTCCCCTTCCTCCTCCCCTCCTTCATGTCCCCTTCCCTCCCCCCTCCCCACCCCCTTAAGAAGTGATTGTCCTGGGTTATTTTTCTCATCTTCTTTTGTAGTTGAAACATCACACTTTTTTTTCAGTATGTCCTCATGTTTTCTAGGCTGCTTGTAATTCACACTGTTTTCCTCTGAATTGTTGCCATATCTGTCTTGCCTGCAACACCCAGAGCTGAATTCAGTTTTAAAATTTCAGTTCCTATCAATGATAAAAAAAAACCACTTGTTTTTCTTACAAGTGGTTCTATTTGTACTTTCAAGTATGACATTCACATTCTTCGTTTCAACTTAAATTGCATACTCGTATTCAGTTCATGACCTTCAGTAATCTCTAAATTCTTTTCTGAAGAACCATTAGCCAGCTACTCTTTCTCCATTCTGAGATCAGCAGTTATTTCTGCCAAAATGCAATATGTTGTTTTCTTTTTGCATGGGGTAGCATCCTGTGGTTTGTAGGCAGTTTCTAGAAATTGTCAATATTGCTTTGAATTCTGAATTGTCCTTCAACATGCTTTCTCTTTTTCCTACTTTGGTATTATTTGAACATTTTAGAAGCATTTTCTATCCTGTAATTCAGATCCTTAATGAAAATGATAATTAATAAACTGGACCTAGGACAGGCATCTGTGGAACCTCATCAAATACCTTTTCCACACTGGAGTTCCACATAAGTAGTTCTAATGAACTACTTATAACCAACATCTGTATGGGATTTCCTAACTAGTTTGCACTCACCTAACAATAACTGCAGGTGAACTACGCTTCCCTCATGCTTTACAAGGAAGTTATATTATAAAAATTATTGTTACTATATAGAAGTTATATTTACAAGAAAGTTATAGTCAAAGTGAGAAAGAATTTACTAACTTAAATAGAAGATTGGTTTGATGACATAAGCTCTTGACTTATTGGAGTTGGCTATAATATTTTCATGTTTTCTTTAAATGCTTGGGAATAGTCTGTTCGAGTATGTATTTATTCCAGTATTGTTTTAGGAATTTAAGTTAAGCTAAATCCAGTTTTCCAGTAGATAAGATTGCACATGCTTAAAGCCCAGTCAGTCACAACCAAGTTATCTTCATTTTGAGTGAAAAATACTTAATTAGCTTATCTGTCTGATGCTCAGTAGGATAAAATTATTGAAGTTGATGGTTCGGTTTGTTTTGGGTTTTTTTGCAGCTTTTTCACTTGGTCCTTCAGTTACTAAAAAAATAAAATTATGAGAATGTGCATAAAAGCAAACATCCCTATCTTTTTGCAGCTTCAAAGGCTTATACTAAGTAAGTGTGTCTCGCTACTGTTATCCAACCACTGGAAAAAAAAAATAAATCAGCATTTTCTACTTCTGTGATGTATTAAGCAAAAGTTGCTGAATACTTAAATATATTTAAGCTCGTTACAAAACCCAATTAGTTATGAAATACACTTTGAGATGCTCAGAGAAGGGTGAATTTAATTTTCCTGCTGTAAAATATTAGAAAGAGAAGCTTATTATTAACATTGGTAGGAAGAGATAAAGCAAAGTGTTTTTTCACTGCCCAGGGTAAAGCTCCACTGTATAGTAGGATCCGTCCTTGCAAATGTTTCTTTCCAGGAGAGAAAGGAAAAAAAAAAGGAAAAAGCTGAGCGAGTAAGCATAGGATTTGTTTTGAGGGACTACTGAGTAAAAGACAGCAGATGTATTCCATGCACTCTTTATTTTCAGTGGGTGAAAAATTAAACCACAAGTTCTGTTTGAAGAAAAGGTGTAGGAGCAGGTGTTGAGCTGGCATCATATAAAATTGCATAAGTATTTATGATGTTATAAGTAAAATTCTAAACATGCTAATTTTAATATTAAGGCAGATGGATATAGTTTGTAAATTGGTCTTTTTGCTCAGTTATTTATAATTATGTAATCTAATTATCTTGTGAACTGAATGAGTCAGATGCTCACTTCCTATGGGTGTGTATATACATATGCATACAGGAATACACATGTATAAACAGGTATGTGTGCATTAATATATACATATACGAATATGTATTTGTACCTATATTCCTCGAGGAACCTGGTCTAGTGGATGGTGTCCCTGCCCATGGCAGGCAGTTTGGAACTAGAGGTTGGAACTAGACCTTTAAGGTCCAAACCTAGCCATTCTATGGTTCTATATAAATACAAGGATATCTCTGTAGGTATGTGAATGACGCCTAACACTTACATGATACTTTCATCTGATTTAAGTCATCATATCTATATTAACTTCATTGATTAATAGTGTGGCCAGGAAGATAGGAAAATTTGCAGGAACACAAAGTTAGTCTTCTGTTCATATGTGCATCTTTTTAACTCTAAATATCTCATACCAGTTTTTTCAGTTATGTCACCCAACAGTGTATTTTTTATTACTTGTGAATGGAAGTTGTCTATATATGCTTAGGACTGATTGCTTGTGAATATAAAGTTAAACATGTACTTGTAAAGGCTGTTGTTTGCCTTGGAAGCGAATCAATAAATTTGCTGGGTAATATTTGTGTAATCAAATTTAAAGTTCTTTGACTTTCAGCCTGGTCCCTGTCCTAAAGGCTGGATATAATCTGATGTTCATTAATCTTTAAAGATAAACATTTGAAGTGTCAGCAGTGTAGACTTCAGTCGTGGTATTTGGATGCAGGTGATTATGGCTGTCAGTACACAAGGGAAAGAAAAGACTAATAATTGCGTAGCCTTCTATAGGCACAAAAGTAACATTTGGCTTGAAGCAAACATTATTTTAGTGATATTTCTTTACAGAATGAGATTTTAACTTCTTTAAAAAAAAAAAATCTGTTTGTTAAATCACAGAATCATAGAATAGTTAGGGTTGGAAAGGACCTTAATATAATCTAGTTCCTACCCCCCTGCCATGGGCAGGGACACCTCACACTAAACCATGTCACCCAAGACTTTGTCCAACCTGGCCTCGAACACTGTCAGGGGTGGAGCATTCACAGCCTCCCTGGGCAACCCATTCCAGGGCCTCACCACCCTTACAGTAAAGAACTTCTTCCTTATATCCAATCTAAACTTCCCCTGTTTGAGTTTTAACCCATTACACCTTGTCATAGCACCACCGTCCTTAATGAAGAGTCCATCTCCAGCACTCCTGTAGCCCCCCTTCAGATACTGGAAGGCTGCTATGAGGTCTCAATGCAGCCTTCTCTTCTCCAGGCTGAACAGACCCAACTTTCTCAGCCTGTCTTCATACGGGAGGTGTTCCAGTCCCCTGATCATCCTCGTGGCCCTTCTCTGGACTTGTTCCAACAGTTCCATGTCCTTTTTATGTTGAGGACACCAGAACTGCACACAATACTCCAAGTGAGGTCTCACAAGAGCAGAGGAGAGGGGCAGGATCACCTCCTTCGACCTGCTGGTCACGCTCCTTTTGATGCAGCCCAGGATACGGTTGGCTTTCTGGGCTATGAGTGCACACTGAAGCCAGCTCATGTTCATTTTCTCATCGACCAACACCCCCAAGTCCTTCTCCGCAGGGCTGCTCTGAACCTCTTCTCTGCCCAACCTGTAGCTGTGCTTGGGATTGCTCCGACCCAGGTGTAGGACCTTGCACTTGGCATGGTTAAACTTCATGAGGCTGGCATCAGCCCACCTCACAAACATGTCAAGGTCCCTCTGGATGGCACTCCTTCCCTCCAGCT